GTCCTGGAGCCAATCCCCCCCATTTTGAGGGATGACTGTGTTATTATTATTATTTGGGGGGAGGGGAAATGCTCTCCCTGTTTGCCCAGGCCATCATATGAAACTTCTGTATTGACAATGGGAGCCCTGCTCTTGGCCCCTGACAGCTGAGTCATCCTGTCCTCTCTCTCAGCTCCCTCAGCCTCAAGCATGGCCAGCGGCTGACTGGCCTCCCTCTGGCTCCTTCACAGGTCAGAGCCCCTGGACTCTGAGGTTGCTGAGGAAGGCTCAGTACCAGACATGATGCCTTTCCAGGCTCTTCACCTGGCCCACTGCCTTCCTTTCAGCTTCTGGCCCTGGATGGCCAAGAATCACCCGTGTGAAGGCAGACCCTACAGGAGATCTCTTAGATCTCCTAAGAGATAGCAAGAACTTCAGGGCAATTGCAGAGATCTGTTTAGACCTCCCTCCAGCTCTGGCGACTAAAGCAAGGAGACCCAATCCAAAAGCACAGTAGAGTCTCGGCAGAACTTTCTGTGCAGAGCTCCGGGAGAATCTTCGGTCGCATCCTGGGCATCTACAGAGGTGCTCGATGAGCCCAAGGAGCTGTCCCCATCTCCCTCCATTCTCCCTGAGTCTCAGCCGGTACCTCAGTCTCACCTGTGGCCCCTCCCCATGACATTTGCCTCGGACTCTCTGACACCCTCCAATGGCCTCCTCTTGGTCCTCGGTCTGGCCAACATCTCTGACACCCAAGATTCAGTTTCTCATGTATTTGTTTTTATGATCCAACCTTTTTGATAGGTAATAAATGCACACAGTTAAAGGAACTCCAACAGTCAGCAAAGTAAAAAGTGAAAAGTAAGTGTCCTGGGCTCCCAGAACCCCACCCAGAGGCAAGTGCTATTAAGTTTCTTCTGATACCTTCCAGAAACAGTCGATGAATATACACACATACAGTTGGATAGTGTCTGTTTTTTTTTTAACACAAACGAAAGTATTCTATACAAGCCTTTGTTGCTTGCTTTTTTCCACCTAACAATATAACTGAGAGATTGTTCCTTGACAGGACACAAAGCTCTTGCATTCTCTTTTTCTAATAGCTGCTTGGGGTTCCATACACCAGATGCATCATAACTAATTAACTAGCAGGTTGTCCCCAGTCTCTTAATATTCCAAACAATGAGACAGTGAACATCACTGTACTCTGTCACCATGCACATGGGCAGGGACCCCTGTCAGATAAATTTCTAGAAGCAGCTCTGCTCGGAAGAGTCCGGCCTTCTCAGCTCAGCCCCAGCCGGCTCCCCACGCACTGCTGACTTCAGCTCCCACTTCTCGGTGACCAGCAGCCATATCATCATCTCCACAGCCCCTTCCTGGGCTCCGTCCTGCATGACCTCAAAGACCCATATCTTCAGCTGTTGCAAAACAGTACAGTTTGGATGGCGCCTCATCACATCGAATTCAAATTATCCAGAACAAAGTTGTGACTTTTCCTCCATCTCCTCAAGTTCAGTCAACGGGATAATATCTTCCCAGACATGGCAACTGGAAATTTGGAGCTATTTTTCACACTTTTTAAAAAAATCCCCCGTCCTCAATCCAACCTGTCACTGCATCCTGCCTTCGAACCGCCCAGTCCTTTGTTTTCTGCAGCAGGCAATACCCGTTCCCTCCCCACTATCCATTCTTGCCCTTCCTGCTTCCTAACAGAGCCATGAATTTGGCCCTGCTTTCATCCCTCCAGCCAAATTCTTTCCAGGACGTCGCTGACCCCCATCCCGACTCAAGATGGTAGATTCTGTATGTGTTGTTAGCCTGGGGGTGAGTATATGACAACTGCATGGAAGAGGACTTAGAAGATTGAGGGGAATTTCAGCTTTCCTACTGAGTGCTGGCAAAAAAGCATGGAGCCCCAGTGGCTACCAGCAGGCCTCTTAGGACCAGGAGAGGAAGCTGCCTTGGGTGGCAGAACAAGAAACCTAGCTGCTAATGACCTCCAGAGAAACTGGTTGAACTGAACCCACAGCCTGCCTCCTGGTGAACTTCTACTTCTGTGGATTTACTAGTTAAGCTACTTAAAGCTGGGTTTTCTGCCATTGGCAGCCCAAAGCAACCTAATGGATGCATTTCCCATCACCAGTCCCAGAGCAAGCAATGTCATCATTGCACGACCCAGATTCGTGAAGCTGCCCCTCAACAAAGTCCTGACTCTGGTTCCCGATTCTGCATGCCCATCCCAATGTCATTTCCTAGAAATGCATTCTACTGTGTCCCTCTAAGGCTGCCTCAGTGCCTATGGGATCAAGACCCAGCTCTTTAGCTTGACTTTCAAGGCTCCATACAACTGGCAGAGGTCTGGTTATGGGGTGGAGAGGGCTGAATTTCAGAGCCACAGAGACCGGGATTGGAGACAGGACTTTAAACCATTTTACCTCTCAGCATCTTTGCTTCCTCGCCTGTAAAATGAGTGCCCATTACTGTCCTTCTTTGCATTTATAAAGGGAAGTGCAGTGATCTTGCTTGTTTACTTGTTTATTCATTTGTCATTTGTTTCCCCCACTTGAAGGTAAACCCCATGAGGGCAAAGAGACTTTCTGTCTGGTGGTAGATGCTCATATCCCCCAGCTGCTGTGATGGCTGGCAGCAGAAGCCCCCAGCTAAGAGAAAGCTTCAGGGATGGCATCAGAGGATGTGGTGACAAGCCCTCCAAAGACCGACACCTCATCCAAAGATGGATCTATGTGGGGCATAGAGGCTGGTCTCTCCTGTCTCAACCTGGACAGCTCTAAAGGGTTGTGCTCTCTTTAGAACTCCCCGTAGGGCTGGCTAAGACCTTAAGTAAGCCTGCCTGCACTATAGCTTGGCTTCATTCTGCTTCCTCCCCCGCCCTCCCTAGGGGGCGGATCCCAAGTACACTCCCTAATCATTCTGCTAAGATGTTAAATTCAAGCCTCAGAGTCAGCTTCCCGGGGTACCCAATCTGCAATGTCTCACTTCCCCACTCTTCCCGGCAAGCCATAGAGCCTGTCGCATAGTGGGTGTTCATTAAGTATGTTTGTTGAGTGAACCTATGAATGAATCAAGTGACAGTTCCTCTAAGACTTAGTTGCCTTATCTGCAAAAGTGGGACGATGTCACAAGTGTCATGAAGTCCCTGTAAGGATGAAAAAAGATGACACACATGACAGCACTGGTATCATACCAGGTACAGGCAAAGAGCTTGGGAAACAGTGGTACAGGCTGAATCAATACCCACTGGATGCCAGGGGCAAGGCTAGGAAGGTGCCCAGAAAAGGGAATTCAAAGTTGAATTTTTTATTAACTCTTCCCAGTTTGGTGGGATCCAGGGTCAAGAACCAAATAATTCTAAGGCATGAGGCAGAGTAAAAGAGGAGGCGATGTGGGAAGCAGGGATGAAGAGGCTGGAGGGACCACCACCGGAGCCACCTGACCTTGCACGGATGGCCAGAGACGGCATTCTAGACAGGAGGCACAGCCTGAGCAAAGGCATGGAAGCCTGGAATAGGGGAAAATGTGGTTTGCTAAGAGAGAAGCACAGCAACAGAAGAGCAGAAGATATGCTTGGAAGGCAGGTTGGGCCGGATCACGGAGGCTAGCAGAGTGCTGGCTTCAGTCAGAGTGCACCTGGGAGCCTCTGAAGGTTTTTGAGCAGCAGAGTCTGATGGCAGACTGTGCTTCGTCGGGAAGATGAAGCTATGGGTAGAAGAGGGTGGATTGGATGGACGCGCTGTAAGTCACCAGAGGGAACCTGCCTGAGTCTCTGCTCTCTCCCCCTCAGCACCAAGCCTGGGCAGGTCTGGCCACAGTGAGTGCTCAGCCAATAGA